CCTCCTCTCCCCTCCCTTCTCCTTTCCCCTTTCCCTTCCCATTCCCTTTACCTTTCTCTTTTCTTTTTGAAAATTTTGTGTTGCCTTTCAGAACTCAAAGAATAGAAAGAAAGTATGCCCTGGTATATGTGCATTAAAATTGGTAACTATCCTCTGTAAATGGGAATAGAAAAAGTAATCAAATGCTATGTGGTGTTTATGACTTTTTCATAGTATTAAGTAAAGCATTTGAATGTACTAATGTGTCAAAAATATATTATAAAAGTGAGATTATTAGTTAATTTGTATTATGTCTAGTACATGGTTTTATTCAAATCATCAGATTTTTAAAAGATAATTGTATTTTAGCATTCTTGTGCTTAATACATCATTTATTTACTTAGACCTTGTGCTTCATCTGCTTTTAAGAAAAAAACATGTCAGACTGGAGAGATGACTTAGTGGTTAATAATACTGACTTCTTTTCGAGGACCTGGGTTCGATTCTCAGTACCCACATGGTGGCTAACAATTATCCATAACTCCAGTTCTAGGAGATTCAACACCCTCTTCTGACCTCCACGGGCATTGCATAAACACAGATGCATTTACATACATGCAGGCAATATATTCATACACATAAAATAAAAATAAATCCTAAAAAAGGAAAATATGTCAAATTAACTTAAAGGAAATTAGCAGTACTCTTTGGCAGTTAGGAAACAATTATAAAGAAATTGGAAAGGTTTATAGTATGATTCTAAGAAATATGGTCTTTTAAGTGATATTTTCAACATCCTATTTAAATGTATCCACTTTTCCCTTTAAAATGCATAAAATTAAGAAGATTTGAATTTTAGAATATAGTTCTAAAAATAAAAGCAAAGCAAAAGAAAACAAAAAAGAGGAAAAATAATCTCTTTAAATAACATTTTAAGGCAAATTTAGAAAATTGTTGTGTATGTGAGTACATGTATGTGTCTTGTGTGTGATATAGCACTTTTGGAGGTCAGAGAACAACTTGCAAAAGTCTGTCCTCTCCTTCAACCATGTGAGTTCAGGAGATTCAACTCAGGTCTTTGAACTCGGTAGCAAGCACCTTTACCCACTCAGCCATCTCACCAGCCCTTTAAGTAAGATTTTGTATCACATGTTGGAAGTGAGCTCAAATGTTTTATGAAGAATTATTATAAGCCCTCTTTCATTTATTTGGTTTTATTATTCAGGATTTCAATGTGTTATGTTATCTGAAATTAGGTATTATTATATAAATCCTCAGTATTTATTAACTATATACATGAACATTTAGATTTTAATTTCTTCCTGAAATGGTACATTTTAATAAAATTAATCTCCATAATTAAAATTGAATTGAAAAAAAATTGTCTTGCTTTGTCTGTAGATAGCTTCCAATGGTGATGAACAGTTGGAAAAAGCCATGGAAGAGATTTTGAGAGATTCTGAGAAAGGGCAAAACAGTCTGCTTGTTGATTGTCAGGCTTCTGGGGAGATTTCAGGCCATTCGTTTGGAGATGTTCCAGCCAGCCAAGCAAATAAGCCATCTCTTCAGTTAATTTTGGACCCATCTAACACAGGTACTATATTGGAAACTTGAAGATGATAAGAGAAATGGAAGAAAATAACAAAAAGTTTTAGATGAAAATTAGAAAATTCTTAGTTTAAACTTGCCTTTAATTATTAAAAAAATTTATTTGTGTGTGTATTGATGGGTGTTTGTCAGAATCCTCAGAACTGGAGTTTTAGATATTTTCAGGATGCAGGGGTTGTTATATGGGTGATGGGATCCAAGCTTTGGCCCTCATGATTGCACACATGCTTTCTTAACTTCTGAGACATCTCTGCAGCCTCTTATTATTTTCTTTGAGACAGTGTCACTCAGGTTGGTCTCAAACTTGTCCTCTTCCTATTTCAGTCTTCTGTGTGCTAGGAGTATAGGCAGTAGCAGCTGTGCCCACCCTTAGTTTTTAAAAGTCACACCAAGGCTACCAGGACTTCAGTACTGGTTGAGAGTTCCTTCTTTGGTTCTTATGGTTTTGCATATATATATGCCTTTTGAGAATAAACACGATGTTTGAATAAATAGGATCCTCATTTTACTTCTGGTATTTGGCACATAGTGTGTCATTGGTACTTGTTGAACAAATTAATAAGTTCTTGGTATCAAAGAATAGTGTAATGGGGACTGGAGAGAATGCTTATTGGTTAAGGGCACCACTCTTGGAGAGGACCCAGGTTTGACTCCCAGTGCCCAAATGGTGGTTAACAACCATTTGATCTAATGCTTTCTTCTGGCCTCTGCTGGTTTACATACATGTGGTGCACTTATATTCAGGCAAAACAGTTATACACATAAAATAAAAATAAGTAAAAAAAAGGGTAGTGTAATGGATAAAATCTTTCATATCATGTGCATTTTGTACTGTTTAACTATCCTTATTTAAATTATAATTTGTAAACATTTCAAATACACAGCATATCAGTTCCATCAGTGTAATTCATGAAAGTACAACTGTGTATGAACGGGATTTATACTCTGAATATCAGTTTCTAAATAGCGTTGATTAATGTGAGTTCCGGGCTGCCTTAGTGTGTGTGTTTTGGGCCAGCCAGGGTTATGTAGTGAGATCCTGTATTTAAAAAAAACAACAAAAATAAAACAAAATAAACAACAACAAACAGAGCCCAAATGAATTGCACGTGGGCTAGGTTAAAAACCATTGAACAGTTTGATCTTGGTTCTGGTAGTGCTTTTTATAGTCTGCTGAGCTCAGGTTTCCTCCATGTCTTTCTTCTCCTTAACTAGATTACTTCACTGTTACAGAATGGCTACTAGCAGAAATTGATAGGTAAGGTTAGGTGATCTGTTCATGCCTGGTGACAGAAAGAATTTGTTCCTTTACTAATTGGACAAGGGTTCAGTGTTTCACTCTGATGTGACCAGCTGACCAGGGAAATTACATGAGTTCGTAGATGTAGGCCTGTTTTCATATTCAAAGCCCTCAATAAGCCACTGTAATGGGGGGATGATCTTAATTGGCTTGGAACCTAATGATCCAGTTTTTGGTTTTGCTTTAAGATAAGTTTAGGGTTAGGTCAAAGTTTTTAAGCAATGGGGTATGATAGACTATGTGTAATCATAATGGATGATTCCACATTAAAAATGTATGAATATGCTTTACCACATAAGTGGTACAAAGAGGAAAAAATTCCTATCACTGGGCACAGAATAGAAATCAAAGCCTATTTTATATAAAGTACTTGTCAAACTGAGACCAGAAGGACATTTTTAAACCAGAGAAATGATATCTATCAAAATGCTATATTTTATTCCTATATTTTAGGTGCATTACTTTTAAGATGCATCTGAACAGGAACAGATGACACAGGATACCTATCTCTATGACTCAGAAATTATACTAGGAAATCTAGCCAAAGCAAGATTACTAGAAAAAGAATGAAATATGATTAGAACGAAAGAGAACAGGATAAAGTTCATAATTCTGCAGAATAAATGATGAATATTCAATAAATGATATTGGGGGGCAATTGCTTCTCATAATGAATAAAAGAAAGTTAGATCCTGACTCATTGTACAATGAAGTTTCTCCTATTGGATCAAATAATTAAGTGAAAATTAAGGACTTGAATGATAGAACAGTTTTGTAGCATGGCTGCAGTTTGATTTCTATCCCTGGAAAAGAAAATAAGATGTTAACAATAAGCAAATAAGAAGAAAATTTCAGAGACTTTTTTTTTTTTCTTTTTTTTGGTATCAGGTAGGAAAAGTCAAACCAGGAAAGTAAACAATAGCTACATTTAAATACATAAAACTTTAAATCTTCTAAGAAAGATATATATGTGGTTCAGTGACAGATAATAGGCTAGGAGAAAATATTTGTAATGCATTGGTTGGGGGTAGGAGTACATGTGTATAAGACTTCTTACTGGTTTGGTGATTTGCCAGGTCTTAGTATATATGAACATACTGTGGCTACATTTATGTTTCAGGGTACTTAGTACCATGTTTATTTATGTGTATACACACACATTTGTCTACTACATATATAAACTATTACATATTTTATGTATTTTTATAAAAATAAAAGATAAATAAACAATACAGAATATGCTTAATTCTTTTTTATATTTTATTTATTTATTACTTTTATTTTATGTGTATGAGTGTATTGTCTGCATGTGTCTGAGTACACCCGTGTCATGCAGTGCTGCAGAGGTCAGAAGAGGGCTTCGTATTCCCCTGGAACTGGAATTAAAGACGGTTTGTAGCCTCCATGTGGGTGCTGGGAATTGAACCTGGGTCCTCTGCATGAGCAGTCAGTGCTCGTAACTGCTGAGCCATCTCTCCAGCCCCAGAATATGCTTAATTCTCAACACCTCTTACCCTAAATATAATTTAAAAATTTTATTATTTATCTGTATGTGCATGCATGAGCACAAACAGATGCACACGTGGGTGCATGCTTGCCATAGCACATGTGTGGAGGTCAGAGGACAACTTGTAGGGGTTAGTTCTTATAGTGGATCCTGGGGATTGAATGCAGTTTGTCAGGCTGGGCCCCAAGTACCTTTACCTGCTGGAGCTATCTCATGGGCCCTTTAAATAAAAATTTTTAAAATTTTTAAAATACATCTTATATTGAGTGTCTCTGGGAAAGATGAATTTCTTTTGCTTACCAAGTAAGTTAAAAAAATTTCTTCTTTTGGATATATATTTATGTATTTTTTAAATAATTATTTTAATTTTATGTGTATGAGTGTTTTGCCTGCATGTAAGTATACATGTGTCATGCGGTGCTCAAGAAGGCCAGAAGGGGCATCTGATTCCCTAGAACTGGAGTTATGGATGGTTGTTAGCTGCTATGTGGGTGCTGGGATCTGAACCCAGGTTCTTTTGAAGAGCAGCCACTGCTCTTAACCAACTGAGTCTCTCTCTAGCCCCTATTATTATTTTTTTTACTCTGTGGTGTATGGTATGTTTGTGTTCAGGTACACTTGCCCATGTGTGGGCATGTGGAGACTGGTCAGAGATTGATATTGGCTGTCTTCTTTATTAACTCTCTCCCTTAAATTTTGAGACAGGGTCTTACACTGAACTTGGAGCTTGTTTTGATTAGGCAGGCTAGCCAGTGAACCCTGTCATCTACCTGTTTCTGCACCTCAGTGTTGGGTTTACAAGTGAATGCCACCATATCTGGATTTTACATGGTACTAGGGATCCAAAGTCTGATTTTCATCTTCTATAGCAAACCCTTTACCCACTCAGCTATCTTCTTAGCCCAACTCTTTTATTATTTTTGTTTTTATCCTGGTTATTTCCTTTAGTTTTGAAATCTACTTGTCTTCTACAAATACCATCACTGCAGCTTCTTTTCAGTTGATACTTTTCAATTTTCATATGTAAATTTATTTAAATATTTATATTTAAAGCAGATTTTATTGCAGATAACATATAGTTCTCTTGTGAGGAAGGAAGGAACAGTTTGATAATCTGTCTTCTATTGGGATGCTTATCCCATTCATTTTTAATGTAATTATTAATAGAGTTGACATTACTATATATAATATATAAAGCTATCTTATTGCTTTCTGTTTGTCTCCTCTTTGGTTTTTGTTTTCTGTTCTTTGGAATTATTGAAAATTTGTATAGTACAGAATATACATTTACTTGGAGGCAATTTTCTTTTAATCACTTAAGGCAAAATTTGAATGCATTATAATCATAAAAGAGTGCCTTCTAATTCTCTTTTAGTTATGTTGACATATGTATTACACATGCATACACTAAAAAGTCCATAGACAATACAGTATATTTTCCTTTCAGAAGTCATACATTTTAAAGAGAATTTGCGATGAGAAAAATGAGTTTACTTGCTGTTTCTGTTAACTTTTGATATTGTAGATTTCCCTATGTTATTTTTCTTCAGGTTGAAGAGCTTACAGTAACATTTCTTTTAGAGGTGGTTCAGAATTTTCATTTTTCTTTGTATGAAACTGGCTTTGTTTTACCTTGATAGCTGGTGGATATTTTTGGTTGATTGTTTTTTGAGCATTAAAAAAATGTTGGCTGTCTTCTCATTGCCATAGTTTTTCTTTTTACAAAAAAAAATTTATGTTTGTGTCTGTGTGCGTAATATGCTCACATGTGTATGTGTTTGTGGATACCTGTGGAGGCCAGATGGCATTGGATCCCCTGGAACTGGAGTTTTAATAAGTGATTGTGAGGTGCCCAACTCAGGTGCTGGGATCTGAACTCCGGTCCTCTGAAAGAGCAGCAAGCATTTTTAACTGCTGAGCCATTTCTCTAGCTCCCCCATAGTTTCTGATGAGAAATTCTCTTCTATCTGTCTGTGTCTGTCTCTCAGTCTCTCTCCATATTATTTTTCTTCTCTTGTACTTGGGGATTGAATTTAGGGCCTTACCCTATACTAGGCAGCAGCTTTACCTCTGAGACATATCATCATCAACTTTTTTATTTTGTTATTTTGAGATGGGATCTCACCAAATTTCCCAGGTTGGCTTCAGTTTGCTCTTTAACTCGGGCAGGCCTTTAACTTGTGATCCTCCTGCTTTAATTCTCTCAAGTAGTTGAGATTATAGGCCTATACCTCCAGGCCCAAGCAGTTATTTGAATCTTTCCCCCCTTATTTATGACCTGATAGTTTTTCCTGACTGCTTTAATTTTCTTTTCCATTATCTTTGTTTTTCAGTAGTTTGATTATTGGGTGTGGTTTTCTTTGAGTTTATCTTTTTAAAAGGATTATCATTAAGAATCTCAAATCTGTACATTTATATCTTTAACTAAATTTGGGAACTTTCCAGCAATTTTTTCCTTGATAATTCTTCTCTCTCCCCCTCATTAATTCTGTTCTACTCCTGGAACTCCCTTGACAAAAGCTAAATGCTTCCTTATGTCTTAGTTCCTGAGCAGTCTTTCTTGGGTGCTTCCGGTTTCCTCTCATGTCATGTTCCTTTAGTTGAAGGAATTTCCTTCAACACTTTTTCTTTTGTAATTTAAAATTCTCCAGTTCAGTATCCATTCAGTATTTCAGTTTAGATTTTATATTATTTAGGTGTTATTTCTTTAGTTTTTCCTTTTCTTTTTCTTTTCTACTTATTTTCTTAAAACTTTTTGTCCTTTATCATATTTGTAATTAAAAAATATTTTATTTATTATTTTAATTTTAATTTATGTGTATGAGTGTATTGCCTACAGGTATGTAAGTGTACCTGTGTCATGCAGTGCCCACAGAGGTCAGAAGAGGATGTTGGATCCCCTGGAACTGGAATTACAGATGCTTAGCCACCATGTGGGTGCTGGGATTGAACTTGGGTCCTCTGCAAGAGCAACCAGTGCTCTTAATTGCTGAGCTATCTCTGCAGCCTTTATATTTGAAAAAATTTTAAGGTCTTGCCTACCAGCTTTATCATCTGTCATTTTTTGATCCATTTCTTTAGTACTTTTTTGTGCTTGGAATCTATGCAGTTTTGCATTTTGTGCTACACAGATTTGCAAAATATTTATATACTCAACCATCTTAAAAAATCCCTTTCCTTCTCCTTTTCAGAACTTCAGTTGCACAAGTATCAGTTTATTCAAGCTGCGTGATCTGTGATGCTTGATTGTCACTGAAGCATGATTATACCATAGGACTGTGCTGCTTCTTCATATGTGCTTATTTTCTAAGTTAGCAAAAATGCATAAGAGCATATATACAAGCTCTAGTAATACTAAATAATTTAAACATGTTAATATTCAACCTAAATGATTTGTAGCTTTTTAAAAAAGACTTTCTGTAATCATGTCTTTTGTTTTTCGAAATGGGGTTTTTGCTATGTAGTCCACACTGGCTTTGAATTCATGATATTCCTTCTCAGCCTCTCCAGTACTAGGATAACTGTTGTTGCCACCATTTTCAGTTTGATTTATAGTTTTTATTTTATTTTATTGGAAATTTAGTATATTGAACTGGTTCAAAAGGGAAAATATGTTTTAGTGACTGAAGAGTTTGGCATATGAAGCAGTTAGTTTTGAATGGCTTTTGTTTGTCAATGAAAAAAATCAGTGTGATAAAGTCATTTTAATATATTTAGGATTTGCAGTAGGAAAATTTTAATTAGAGTTTTAAAAGTATTATATTGAATAATTGAAAATGCTGCAAAAATCTAGTTCGAGTGAGACAGATATTTTTAATTTTGTGCAGTATGAATGTGGGTAACAGGAGGAAGGGTTGGAGATAAAATGAGTATGTGTTTTAAGAGGGTTCACAAAAGGCAAATGTTATACTACCTAACACATGTAGGTAGATATTGGCAGTAATTGAGCTTTATGTTGTTCTGAAAGCAAAGGCCCCACCCCAATTTATTATATAGAAAGGTAAAGTTGAGTAAAGTAATAATCAAAATCAAGGAAGAAAAATTATCCCATTTGAATTTTTTTTTTTTAAAGACAGGGTCTCACTATATAGCTTTAGCTGATGTGGAACTTCCTATGTAGACCAGGCTGGCCTAGAACTCACAGAGATCTGCCTATTTCTGCCTCCCGGTGGTAGGATTAAAGGTGTGCACCACCACCATTCCTGGCCTTCTGTTTGGGCTCCTACATAGTTCAAACAAGCTAGTAAGCTAGTAATGAGGAAAATGAACACTTGACTTTTGTCAAGTGTTCATTTTCGTCATTTTGTTGTTATTGGAACATGTACTAATGACTTTTGGCTGTTTCTTATTTCAGAAATTTCCACTCCCAGACCGTCTTCCCCTGGTGGACATCCTGAAGAAGATAGTGTTTTATTTAACAAATTGACCTACTTAGGATGTATGAAGGTTTCTTCCCCACGTAATGAAGTGGAGGCTTTACGGGCAATGGCAACCATGAGATCTTCCAGTCAGTACCCTTTTCCTGTTACTCTATATGTGCCAAATGTTCCAGAAGGTTCTGTGAGGTGAGCTTTAACTTTTTTTCTTTAGTTCTCTATTAAGTGTTTTAATTGGTGATAAGTATGTTATATCATAGATCAGATGTAGAATATAACTGTAAATTAACTTACACTCTGTAGATCTGCAGGGCAAAAAAGGTCATTACATTCAGGCTTAGAAAATGTTCTTGTTTGCAGAGTATTTTCAAAATTATTCATAGGCTAGCAATAGCCGAGTGCTAAGTACCAAATTAATAGCAACAGTCATATAAATTGACTAAGTTTTGATGAAAAATACTTTGAGTGTTTTAGGAAAATATGTTATAAATATCTTGTTTGTGTGGTAGCCTAAAAATGTCCCAATGTCTTGGTGTAATGCATGTGTGTGTGGGTACATGTATGTGTGGAGGCGAAAGGACAGCTTCGGGTGTTCCCAGGTGCCAACTACCCCCTCCCCTCTCTCTTTTTTCTTTTTGGATTTGTTTTGTTTGTTTTAGACAGGGTCTTACAATGTAGCCCAGGTTGGCCTGGAACTCTCTATATAGACCAGGCTGGCCTTGAACTCAGAGCTCCATCTGCTTCTGCCTCTGGAGTGCTGGGATTAAAGGTGTATACCATCATACCTGGCCTTTTTAAAATTTTTGTTTTCACTTGATTTTTTGAGACAGAGTCTCTTACTGGCCTTGAATTTGCCAAAGTAAGCTAGGCTAGCTGGTTAACTGTCTGGCCAGTGAGCTTTAGGGATCTACCTGTTTCTACCTCCTCAGCCCAGTGCTGGGATTATAAGCACAGGTCACCCATCACACTCACCCCCACCCCCCCACACCCCTTGCATTCTAGAGATCTAAGTTAGGTCCTCTTACTCATAAGGCAAGTATTTTATAGACTGAGTTATCTCCCAAGTCCTCAAAAATGTCTTTTAATGTTTCTATTTAGTTTCAATTTTCTAAACACATCTTGACAAAAAGTGCTTTCATTTGCCTCTCTAATCACTCCACCTTAGTCCATCCTACTGGTTTCCAGTTTGAGATCATGAAGGAATCTTGGGTTTTTACATCAAACACAGGCATATGCAAGGAAAGTCAGATAATTACTTTCTTCTAAATCCTACAAGCTCTTTTCAGCTTGTATATTCTATTGTTGAGACTATCTTTGGAACTGCCTGACCTTCTTTGGCCTTCTTTGATTTGAATAACTTGGGGATTAGATAAATATAGGAGCTGTCTGAAAAAAAATGGACTCTGGGGATTAGGGAGATAGCTTAGTGAATAAAGTGAGCATTGAGTTTGATACTCAGTACCCATATAAAAAGCTGGGTATGGTGGCATGTATTTCTAATGCTAAACTGGGGAGGCAGAGATAGGTGGATCCCTGGGGCTTTCTGTCCAGCTAGTCAAGCCTCATCAGTGAGCCACTTGTCCCAGTGAGAGATCCTGTCTCAGAAATCAAGGTAAGGGGCTGAGGAGATGATTCAGTGAGTAAAAATGCTTTCTATGCAAACAGGAGGACCTGAGTTTGGGTCCCTAACACCCAGGTTTAAAAAAAAAAAAAAAGAAATAAGACATGATTGTGTTCCTGTAACTCCAGAGCTGAGAGGTGGGGCCAGGGCAGGTTTGCTGAGGTTTGCTGGCCACCATCATGGCTGGGAAAAAAACAACCAAACACCAAGTAGACTGCCTCTGAGGATTGATACCCAAGGTTGAACTCTGGTCTCCATGTGCACCTGGGGCACACACACACTCACACGAACACACAGAAACATCTACAGATACACACCCACACATAACATACACTCCCTACCCCCTACACCTCCACACTCATATACCTGCACCCTATACCCACACCTACACAATAAATGGACTTTCTATGCTAAAACCTCCTTTTCTTGTCTTTCAGTTAAATATCTTTATTTAAAGAAATCTGAAAAGTGCTTCGTTTTAAATCCTTTTACACTTTAATATGTGTATGTATACTGAGTTTTGGGCATTTTCACTTCCTCTTATTCTCTCTTATCCCCCTCCTCTCTCCTGCTTTGTTCCCAACAGTCTTTCTCCTACTTTGGTGTCTTGTTTTCGTTTACTGACATTGTTTTTAACAGAACAAGATCAAGACCACTAAAATGAGTGATGTATGTATACTTGGCTTTGGAGTAAATGAATTAGATTGTAGGAAACACAAGAATAAAGAAATTTTTAAAAGAAAATGAATTTGTGTGTAATACGTATTAATTTCAGTAATACGAAGATAATTTTTCTTATATTAGTAACTATTTTTGTGATTTTAAGCTATATATATATATAAAATTTATTATATATTGAGTTTTTTTTTGACAGTTAATATTTTATCTCATTTTTTGTTACTGCAGAATCATAGACCAATCCAGGAATGTGGAGATAGCATCTTTCCCAATCTATAAAGTGCTGTTCTGTGCACGAGGGCATGATGGAACAACAGAGAGCAATTGCTTTGCATTTACAGAGAGTTCGCATGGTTCAGAGGAATTTCAGATACATGTTTTCTCCTGTGAAATTAAAGAGGCAGTAAGTATGATCTAATGTAGAAATTTTCTTTGGAGTTGAGTTCAGGTAATATTTTTGAACTCTTAATTTCCCTGTTATAGAAATACATTAAATAAATCTGGAGCGTGTAGAGACAATATTTGTAATGACATAGAGCTGATTATGGTAAGCTAACCAAGCCTGATGTATCTGTGTACACAACATGATCTTGTAGGTAGACAGTCTTTTAGTCTAGCAGATGTAATAGAATAATATCACTGGATAATTGTTCTTTCATCCTGGTGGTATTTGTTTATGATCAGAAAGGATGAGTACTTTTGTGCCTCTTGCTATTTTGCTCAGGTTCATTGCTCCATGTCTTTTTAAAAATTGTTATTATTATTATTATTATTATTATTATTATTATTATTTGGTCTTTTCTGAGACAGAGCCTCCCTATAGCCTCAGCTGGCCAGACTAGACTGGCCTCAGTCTCACAGAGATCTGTTAGCCTCTGCCTCCCGAGTGCTGGGATTAAAGGCAAGTGCTACCATGCCTACCCTTCCATGTGGTTTTTAAAAGAGCCTGTAACAGTGCCCATTTCTGACAGGATTGATAGTTGTATAATGCTTTCACTCGCATATTATACTAATATTGTTTCATAGATCTCTCTTGTTTTCATATTATTTGTTGTTGCTTGGAGCTGGGATTTTTTTCTAGAGAATTGGCCCAATTAAAAATACAAATGCTTATTGGCTCAATTAAAAATACAAATGCTCCCACAGAGTAGGGGAATGTGTAGTCTTTTGAAGATGTCAGTGTACTCCTAGCAATTATTATTGACTGGTGGTTTATTCTTCTACTGGCTTCAGAATCACATGACTACAAAATTCATTCTTTTCTGAAACTGAGTTGCTCCTCTCCCAAACTGTTTTAGAATTTTAGTACTTGAAGCCATTTCAAAAGCAATAAAAAATATATTTTATCAGTGAGTTTTCAGGTATGCTTACCTTTGAAAATTTGTCAAAAGAAAATGCCAAAAGCAGCATTATTCTAGTTTTTATTTACCATGCAACATGAACAAATCGTTTGAATTACAGAATTATAGCCACAGCATAAGAACTCATAGAGATGTAGATCTTTGTGAGTTTAATACCACATATGATTGGTATACCACTTCTTATGCCCTGGTATGTATGGACACACATAATTTATATGATAACCATTGAAATTCTCTGTCAGAGAATTCAAGTTCTTAGTTTCGGTTTTTCAGAGAAGCCTTAATCAATTTCATTCCAACATTTACATATCTATGTGTATATTGACTTCCTTCCGAAAAGGTGTGATTGGCTGGAGTGACAGGGTCCAGATGCGCTCCCAGCATGCCTGGCATGTAGTAGGTATGAATTTAAGTATGTTGAAAGAGTGCATATTTGTTTATGAGAAGTCCTATTTCTGATCCTTACCCACTACACTACAGAGGTGGGGAAACAGATTGGTAGAGTCCTGGCATTTCATGTTGACAGCTGTTACTTAATACACCTGTTCGGTTACTGGATCATTGGAGCCCAACAGCTAGCAAATGAGGAAATGGACTATGAAGAACCAAAGAACCTGCTGCTTGGAGAGAGAGAAAAATGCTTTTCTACAAGGAAATCAAAAGGGAATCTTGCTGCAAGCATTTTCCATAACTGTGATGGTATGAAACTCTCTTTTGGGATTATAGCACTTGCTTGTTTATGAGTTGGGGGCATGTTTATTGTTTTTGAGAGCTTTTAACTGTGGGTAATCAATAGAAAAAAAAACTGGGAAATTTTTAACTTGTTAATTTTGGATAGAATATATTATATATTTGTAGATAGCACATTTTATACATTGCTGGCTATGAAAAAGTGATTACCATTTATTGATTTTTTTAAAAAAAAACACATTTTGAAAGTGTTATATTGTGGACCATCAGTGCTAAAATACTTTGTTTGAAGAAGGGCCATATAACAGTGTGTTTTAAATCTTACTACGAGAGACCATTTCTAAATGTAGATTATCCTGGTATAAGTAGAGAGCTGTGCCAGGCATTATTTGAAGCATTCATTTGGTAATTATTACATCCCATGGTATGACTAATACTTATTTGGATAAGAGACCTTGTGTTTCTTTTTGCCTGGATCAACTCTAATATATGCCAACTAGCCAAGTATTACTAATACTCTTACATTTTTCCTCAATAATGTTCTGATTTAGATGATAAACTGTGTGTTTACCCTTTGCTTGTCCTGAAGCAATGAGAATAGATAAAAGAGCTGAGTTTCAAATTGAAGTCTTTAACTTAGAAGAACCATATATTTTCACAAAAACCTTCATGTTGTTTAAATTTTGTAAAAAGTAGGGGCCAGTGATATAGCTCAGTGGATAAGGGTGCTTGCTGCCAAACCTGACAACCTGAGTTTGATCCTTGGAAGCTACATGGTAGAAGGAGAGAACTGACTCCCACAAGTTTTCTCTGACCTTCATCCACATGTGCGTGCGCATGCACACACACACACACACACACACACACACACACAGAGAGAGAGAGAGAGAGAGAGAGAGAGAGAGAGAGAGAGAATGTTAAAGCGAAGGTAAAATTTAAAAAAATATAAAAAATATGAATTTTTGTTTTTCAGTTATGTTTTATAAGTGACTTTATCAACTATGTAGCTTGCATTCCAGTTGCCTTTGTTTTTTACTTGAGCCTTCATAGAATCTGTCAAGATCTTCCTTTCATCATTAAAAAAATTAATTACACTTAGTTAATCTGAAACTAATCTGTGATCTGTTTCTCAGTTTCCTGAGTTGTGGTAAATGAACAACTAAGTATTTGAATTTTTCTTGAGGGGCACAAGAAATTGGCATAAATAGCTTAGGAACTGAAGGACAGACATTCTTATTTATGTATGCGTCATGCAGCAATGCCATTAATTTATTTCTCTTTTTCTCCCCAGAGTCCCTGGATGCTACTTGAAGGTTTTTCTGCTGAAGGCACGATGTTTCCTCAGGAGTAACAGCATGGCTCCTACTTCCAGTTGTCCCTATGATGCTCTTATGTCACAGTAAAACTCTCCAAGCAGCAGGCCTCAACAGTGGTAGAAGGGAAGCCCAGTGAGGGTGATGGCGCTCTTGGACACCTGTGATATAAGTGTTAAAGGTTTCCACAGAAGGACCAGGACATGTTTAACTTGATACCCTGGATATTCTTCTGGAAGACTCTATTGGACTGAATTTCTGTAACATATTGGACTGAAGAGTTGGGCAATCCAACAAGAAGCATCTTAATGTCAGTGGTCCTGTGCAGGGAGAATAACATGAGGCTTCTGCTGAGGCTTTGTAGGCAACCCTGAATACCAGAAATAGTGAAAAAAGACAAGGAGGCTCCTATGCTTCTTGTGTCTTTTTTTTTTTTTTTTTTTTTTTTGAGACAGGGTCTTCCTGGAGCCCCAGTCAGCCTGGAACTCACTATGTAGACCAGGCTGGTCTTGAACTCCTCTCGAACTCACAGAGTTCCACCTTCCTCTGCCTCCCAAGTGCTGGGATTAAAGGCATGTACCACCATGCCCGGTGCTTGTTGTGTCTTTAAATGACTTAACTGATGCTAAAATTTTCTGTCTTTTTTTTCTTTTTTGGTGTATGGTATATACATGTATAAATATTCACTTGTGTGTGCACATGTGTGTTGAGATGCACATGCACATGTGCATGCATGCATGCGGAGGCCAGAGGTCAATGTCAGGTGTCCTTTTCTATCCCCCTTCCCCTTGCCCATACCCCCTTTCCCTCCCCCTCCCCCTCCTCTTCCTTCTTCCCCTCCTCTCCTCTCCGCTTCTCCTTCCCCTTCCCTTCATTTCCTTTCACAATTATACCTTCATTTAGTTTCTTTCTGTTGCATCTAGGGTATACTTAGTCCTTTCTTCAGTCTTTTGTATTGCTTTGCATAGTCTCCGAAGAGTTGGTTTGATTGACATGAATTTAAATGTGTATGAGTGTATTGCCTCCATGTATGTGAGTGCACCCATGTCATGCAATGCTGTGGAGATCAGAAGAGGGCTTTGAATTCCCCTGAAACTGGAGTTAAGGACGGTTCATAGGTGCCATGTGGGTGCTGGGAATCAAACCGGATTCTCTGCAAGACAGTCAGTGCTCTTAACCGCTGAGCCATTTCTCTAGCCCATGACATGAATTTTTTTCAACCTGTTCATGTCATGGAAGATTTTTCTTTCCCCTTCAACTATAATAGACAGTTTTGCTCGGTAGAGTATTCTGGTTCTATCTATGGTCATTTAGAACTGGGAGTACTTTGGTCTAGGCTCTTCTGGGGATTCTCTGCAAGACAGTCAGTGCTCTTAACCGCTGAGCCATTTCTCTAGCCCATGACATGAATTTTTTTCAACCTGTTCATGTCATGGAAGATTTTTCTTTCCCCTTCAACTATAATAGACAGTTTTGCTCGGTAGAGTATTCTGGTTCTATCTATGGTCATTTAGAACTGGGAGTACTTTGGTCTAGGCTCTTCTGGCTTTCACAATTAGCATTGAAATGTCAGCTGTTATTCTGATGGGTTTTTCTTTATATTTGAATTGTTGTTTTTCTTTTGCAGCTTTCAGTATTCTCTCCTTCTTCTATACATTTAGTGTTTTTATTATGATATGCTGTGGGGAATTTCTTTTCTGGTCCTGTCTGTTTGGTGTGCTCCGTGCTTCTTGTACTTGTGTGGGTATGTCTTTCCTTAATTTTGGGAAATTTTCTTCTATAATCCTGTTGAAGACTTGGTCAGTACCATTTACCTGAGATTCTTCTCCTTCCTCTATGCTTATCAGGTGTAAATTTTGTATTTTCATGGTGTTTCACATTGCTTGCATATTCCATTCCTGTTTTTTTTTTTTTTTAATTTGGTGGTTTTTGCTTGAGCAGTCCAATTCTTCAACTTTATCACACAATCTTGATACTCTGTTTTCCATTTCACTCATTCTAATAGTGAGCTTTTTCCTGTTGTTTCAAACTGACTTATT